TACTGGTGTATTGCTGTCGGCGCATATAGTATGACGATTTCTAGTCCTTGATGAACTGAAACAAACAAGCTATTGACCAGTTTTTTATCACTACTTTCTCCGAATAAATCCTGCGCGTAAACTTAAAAAGAAGATATCCTATAAAAATAGAAGTACACCCTTGGGACCTCTTTAAAGTAAAGTTCATGGCATTCTGATATTGTTAATCTGTTAAGCTATACATTGTGTTGAGAAACATACCCCCAGGTTCCATCCCTTAACCTACAGTGGCTCAGAAACTAATGTTATTGACAAATGTACCAAAAATGCATTTTGGGAGATAGAAGCCCCCTTAAAACAACAAGGAAGCAGGCCCGCTTTTTGGCCAAACGAAGCTGTCAGCTTCACTTTGCTCCGCTGCCGACTCCGTTCGGCAGGGCAGGGGCCGTGCCTGCTCGGTCTGTCGGCTGCGTTTTGTCCTATACGTCACCTATATACTTATTTGACCCCTGAGTAACTATATATATCGAACAACGTTTGACTTTTCGGGGGAGGGGGGACCTGGAGCCCTCAAGATTGGATACTTGCACAAAAGAAAAGACGGCCGGACTGCCAAATTACGGCCGGAAAGAGGGAATTCGTTTGAAAATCGTTTACATTTCCCGCCGGAGTGCCACCTTCCGGCCGGGAAACTGGCCGGGATTTTCACCTGGGTAGCACAGTTGCACGCTGTCTCCTTGTCTTTCACGTCATTCTGCACGAGCTATCGTTAAATATTTTGACGATAAAAATTTGTTAAAACCTGTCGGAAGACCACCTGAACAAGCAGGCACACCACCACGTTACATTTTCGGCTCGCCAGGACGCATCTTTTTGAATTATTTCACTATCTTTACGGCATTTGACAAGAGAATAAAGTAAAAAGTAAGACATGAAAAGAAATGAGTATATTTTGATGATGTTACAGGTGTGTGCCCTTTACGGGACGTCCCCGCAACATAATCAGTGATCTTAACCCAAAAGCGAGTTGATTTTCGCCACTCACTTGTTTAAAAGTTCACTTGCTAAAGTACACCGCTCCCATACTTTCGCCGCGCCCTCAGCAGCGAAAAATGTGACGAGAGTCAGCGCCACCAAGCCAATCTCACGGGCCATCGCAGCTGTTTGCTTGACGTAGAGCTGCGAACGGCTGCGAACCTTCTTATTGCGAACGGCTGGCGTTGAGTGCACGCGTCATAAGTTGGTGTCACGTTGTAAGTGCGGAGTCGTAAACAGAGTGAGTGTGGCAGATAAAACACAGTCGTGAAATGTTCTGCCAAACGACAAATTGGAAAAAAGGTTTAGAAATTCTGAAAGTGCGAGTTTAAGTGACGCTTCATATTCACACCTAGAAAAATCTATTCTTATTCTTGCATCAAGTTTTTATGCGTCAATCAAGTGCAAAATGGCCTTGTAGCCATGGACAATGTAGAGTTAATTGTATTCTTCTTGGTTGCAAATTCACAGCGAAAGTATTTGTGCTTTGACTCAAACTTCAGAGTTGACGTTCGAGCTGGAGGTCCAAACTTCAAAATGAGCAGCTTGGTGTGCTCCATAAAGTGATGTTTAGGCCGAATTTTCAATGTAGGAAAAGTTGTGCATCGAGCATGCAGATACTTTAAAATACAGTTGTCAATATAATCAAGGAATGTTCTTGAGATGACAGGCGATGATACAAGCGAGTAGATTTCACAAAGACTTAAGGGGGGCAATATGAGTTACAGCAGTCAAAAATGACCTAAATTTGGACTATGTTTAATGCTCTTGCGCTCCATTTTGGTCAGCAGGGTGGCCCCGGGAGGCATGTCCTACCTTTCAGTAATCCTTTGAAAGTAATTTGATCCTGGGGGTGACCACTTACGCCCCTTCTACTGCCCATGGGGTCAGCTTGGTTGTACCATGTCAAAAAAATGGTCCAAAATACATTCCCTAACATTGCGCACATATTTTTCTACAAATTTGCTCTGATCCATTCTTCTTTCTAATTTTCTTAGTTAATATTGATGTTGGCATGTCCTGAACTAGAACCAAACCATTTGAAGCATTTTGAATTTTTTTTAAGAAGCACTTCTACACCGCAAACAAAATAATAACATTTAATCATAATTGTTTTATTTTAAAAATTTGAAGAATTGTCAGACAAGAGATCTTCTAGTTCAGGACATGCCCACATCAATGTCAACTAAGAAAATTAGGTAAAGAAATGGATCAGAGCAAATTTGTAGAAAAATATGTGCGCAATGTTAGGGAATGTATTTTGGACCATTTTTTTGACATGCTACAGCCAAGCTGACCCCATGGACAGTAGAAGGGGAGTAAGTGGTCACCCCCAGGATCAAATTAATTTCAAAGGATTACTGAAAGGTAGGACATGCCTCTCGGGGCCACCCTGCTGACCAAAATGGAGCGCAAGAGCATCAAACATAGTCCAAATTTAGGTCATTTTTGACTGCTGTAACTCATATTGCCCCCCTTAAAAGCATGGCCCACGAAGGGTTAGTTTTATCTGTTATTCTTTTGCCCAAAACCAATGGAAGAAAAATGATAAGAGGAGCACATGATTCTGCGATGGAATCTGCGCGTAAAAACACGTCCGGTGACATACGGTACGGCATATTCGTCCCAATACTTTTCGTGCTGTGCTACGCCGAAAGAGTCAAAAAAGGCTAAATTTTCCTGTATTTTAGAAAAAAAACAAAACATTTTTATTTTGAGTGCAACAACTCCGAGCGGCACGTCACCGAGCGTGTTTTTACGCGTAGATTCCATTTCTCCAAACAGAATTCAATAAAAATTGAAACTGAAAGAGAAAAAAGCGAAAAACACTTTTTAGCCATTTATCCCATAAGACTTGCATGTTAACTTTGACGGGCCGGCGCGACCTTTTACTTGTGTCCAAAAAATCTGAAAAAAATATTTTTGTGCTTATTTTTGGACAGAGAACGAGATAGGACCCCGCCCCCTCGACATTTAAATACTTTTGCGAAAATGAACGTATCTAACGGTGTGGGTCACGCCGCACTGAACGTGTTAAGTTTTCAAGAGTGAAAGCAAAGTGACAGATCTTAAAACTAGTGCTAGCTGTGCCAGGAGCTTTTGTCAGACTAACATCATCATAATACAATATGATTTGCAGAGCAGAAGGGTCAGTCATGAAGAGCGAGTGAGTCATAAGAGAAGTTCCATCGTGGATGTCAGTCAGATAATCTGACTGCAGCACGGGTCTTCTTTGCCTACTTGCAAGGTATTGTTCGTAAACCGAATCATCATTCATCATCCATTTAATTGACTCTTTAACAGGGACATAGTGGTACTTGCATTGAATGTTGTCTTGATTAAGACCCAAACTCTTCTGAACAGGCGATACAGAATTAAAAATCTTCCTACTGGTGTATTGCTGTCGGCGCATATAGTATGACCTCATGGGCCCATCAGTGGGGGAATGTAGACGGTTCATTATACTATCAGACAAAGTCTGTTCAACAATGGGCTTTGCAACATCCATATCAACGCCACTGGATTCCAGCTTACCGAGGAGCTCACTGGCAGTTAAAGCAGTTGCTTCATTTATCAGGGTTGTGTATGAATCTAGTTTAAAGCCCAAAGTTGAATCAGATACATGTAGCTTTTAAGAAGCAGTTAATCCCATATGAACAAATTTTTTGCAATACAAATTGTAATTAGATTCTTGATCACTTATTACATTGCAAGCAGGAGCTCTTGATTGATCAATATTGACTATGGGAATATCATTATCAAGATGCACCGTGACACTATCTCCACCCTCTGCATAATTATCAGATCCCAAAGACTCTCCATTTTCTTCAAGAGTTGGACTGTCAGTATTTGAGGATTGTGCGTTATTAGAACCTGCATGGTTCCAAAACCGGTGAACTCGAACTGCCCCTTTTGATTTGCCCTTGAAGTTGCATCCAGGTTGTGCACACTTTTAAGGGATATTATCAGATTTTTCAGAAGTTACGGGTGAGGAAGGACTAGCTGCATGGAACAGTACATGCTTTTCATACAGCACGAAGTTAACTAACTTGACAGAACAATTTGCAAATCCACAAGTGAACTGTGAACGTAACCCAACTTGAAGCTTTAGTTTAAAGTGCTCGACATGCCCAGAAAGTGATGCGATATCCTCTTTACAAACTTTGCACGAAATCATTGCAAATAATCTAAAGAAGTAGATTATTTGTAAAAGTCTTTGAAGATAGATTTTAACATGAAGAAAATGGGGGGGAGAAAAAAAAGTTTCAAACCTCTTCAGAATCCATGTGAGTGTGGGGTGCAGTTATTCAGTTGTTCAACTCAAGACGCAGATCCCTTGGAAATTGCTCAAAACTGACGAACTAGCTGGTGATTGAGAGATGAACTGGCACAGGGGATAACTGCAAAAAACAATATAAACAACCACTTATGCAAGAGAAAAATTAATTTTAAATGTACAAGATATTAATTGCTTACTTGTAGATGATGGTTGCGCAAGAGTACGGTTGATGCTGAATGGCCAAGCTCAAAACTCTGATTGAAACCTGAGAAACTGACCAAACGCGTTGAACAAGTGGTAGGAATCACTTTAAAATTTGCACTCCTTCAACTGAAATAAGACTTGTAATCTCATTACTGACATGTTCATGTGCCGGGAGAGGCTGTTTGGTACAATTCCATAGCAAAGTGGCAACTACAACAATTTGTTAATGGCTATTGATAACCTCCACAAAGCAGTACAGGTGACCTGTCCCTAGAGCACCTTCGCGTCCCGGCGTCCCGCGTTGCGTGCGTAACGGCCGCGCAGGTGTGCCAACTTGCACGCAATCAGAGGTCACACAACTGGAAGGAAAAACACAAATTAAGAATTGAAAACTGGTTGAGATATGGTTTCACATACTTAAGGTACATTTTTCAAATGAAAGAAGAATATTAAAATAGCTGATTTACTATTGTTCCCTTATATTTTTGTGCCACTGTTGCCTGAACTGAAAGTTGGCAGAGCTACTAGCCAACCATAACCAATTCTGGTTCGAAAAATTCTATCTTGTACTAGCTTCTTCTATGTTTAAAATGGAAGGAAATAGATCTGAAAACCGTCTTCCTTCGGGCAGCGAAGATTATGTGTCAGATGCAGATAGCGACCAGGTAAATTTTCAAAAATTACTCTTTATGATATTCAATCCTTCTCGATTTGCAACATAGCTTTCGAAAGTAAAATTTGAACTGCGTTTGCATTTCAATGCTGTCTAGCTGTAATAATGGTATAAGATAGTAGAAAAGAACAACAACTCCGCCCAACTTGAAAGGTTTGCCTGGATATCAACAGATCTTTTTGCCATGTGAAGACTACCTCTAAAACAACAGTCAATGTTTGAAACATTCAATTGAACATTCAATCTATTGTTGTTTTAAAAGTAGTCTTCACAATACAAAAAGATCTATTGATTTCAAGGCAAACCATTCCAGTTGGGGATAGTTCTGTTGTTCTTTTCCAAATACTACTTTTTACCACTATTTTTTGAAACTATTCTATGAAAGCAACAAGTAGATACTACAAAATACTTATCTTTGTTTGGACAGGAGAATTCGATTCATACCATGAACATGAAGAAGACCATCTTCTATATGAAACATTTGGAGTGGCATTGCGATGTGTATAGAGAAGCTCTCAGTAAGGTACTAGACAGAACAAAGCTGGTAAAAGCAGCCAAGGCAAAACTCGTGGAAGGAAGTTAGGAAGATCACTGCCAGAGTTGCAAAATAGAGGGCCTTAAAGAGAAGATAGAAGACTTGCAGGCAGAGTATCAGAAGAAAGCTAACGTGCAGAAATGGATCACAAACAAGCATAGTCAAAATAAAAGGAAGAGGCAATATTGAATAAAACTATTAGATAGTTACCACTGCAATCGGCTTTCTTTTTTCCCCCAAGCTCTATCTATACTGTAAAACATTGATCTAATTCGCATGTATACTCATGAACTTCAGTAGAGATTCTGTGAAATTAAGTTGATGACTTGCATTGCAACTGCAAAATAAGTCAAAACAATTATGCCAGTCAGATTATATGCCACCAGCCCAAAATAGTAAATTATAGGACAAAGAAGCTGTAGAAGAAAATACAAATTTTATAAGCAGCCTAAAAAGATAGATTCTCTCATAAAAATTCAATGATAA